TATATATAATTAAAAAACATAAATTGACCTAAATTGCTAAATATGTAATGGCTGGGTTTAGAATGTGTGAAAAAGGATGAAAGAGGAGGAGTTTGGCACATACATTTGAGATGATCTTGTTACATTTTCTGTCACAAAGCTCAGTCCTGCTGTAGTGACACACACATATACAATGATACTTCATTCAGTCATTCTGCTCTCTGCCTTAACATGTAAGTGTATTTGTTTATGTATTGCATGCATTTGTATTTCTAAAGTTAAGGATATACACATTATATTTTGTCATAAATAATTTTCTCATCTTAAATGCTCAATTATTTTTATTTAATGGAAACGTTTTAAAATTAAACTGCAATGTTTATATTTATTGTATGTGTATAATTTCAAATAATTGATCATTGTAATCAATCAAACTCAAACACTATTTGAAAAGTTATTATTTTGCACTTTTCCAGGTGTGAGTTTAGGAGATGAAATCACAGCAGACAGCACTGAGGAATCTGCTGCAGTGGGATCAACTGTAACTTTATCCTGCAGTTATTCCTCTGCACAATCACTTCAATGGTACCGTCAGTATCCCGGATCAGCTCCTCAATTTCTTGTGCTTATAATAGAGGGTGTGAAAGAGACTAAGACATCTGATGTAGATCCCAGGTTCTCTACTAAACTCAGAAAAGAAAAACAATCCACAAAAGAAATCAAACATGTGGATCTGGAGATCTCCTCTGCTGCTGTATCAGACTCTGCTCTGTACTACTGTGCTCTGAGGCCCACAGTCACAGGAAACACAAGAACACTGTACAAAAACCTGACACAGATGAAGGTGTACAAACAATTTCTTTCCATAAATCTACTTGTAATATACATAGATTATGAGTGTATTTATTTTTTATTTAATATTATCTATTCAAAGTGTACTCTAGGATGTAAATCACTTAAAAAGTCAAATTATTGACATTTTTCAGTCAAAGTCACTACATTCAATAAAGAAAACCATGTGGATATGATCATCTCCTCTGCTGCTCTGAAAGCAATAAAGCTAATATAAAATAAAATAAAATAAAATATGCAAAGAAGGAAAGAAATTGTATTTTCTTTTTTCCTACTTTAAAAATTAAACTTTTAATTTGTGATGCTTTTGGGTAAACATAAGATTGCGAATTACACCATATATTCATATTTTCAAGGCTCATTACAGAATCATTAGCTCCTCCTTTTCTATTTAATAATTAATAGATATCTCTTTTACACATCTGTTGCTCTACCTCTTTAATTGTATATAAAATAACAACAAAAAATGAGTCTGGTTGAGATTCTGTCAATATTCACAATTGGTCTTGGTGAGATTATTTGCCTCTCTTAAATATTTAGTTTCGTTTGTATATTATATTGTTTTTTTGTTTGTTTTTTTAACTAAACTGCCAAACAGGATCATCAACAGAGGGCAGGAAGTTCCTGAGTGACTGTATGACTCAGATCCTGAGTAACTGCAGAAACTCAGAGCATCACAATCATCACAACCTACAACACAGAACACAGCATCAACAGAACTGATCTGACTTAGTAAACATGGACAGACACTTGGTACTGATTGTAATCATGACTTCAGGTAAAATACTCTTTGATGCCAATGCTAATGAAAATAGTGTAATGTGACTGAATTCAACCCACGTGTGCTTTAAAATGTAAGCAAAATGTTATATTTATGTTTGCAGGTGTGATGGCTGGAGACCAGATTTGGCCAAATAAGGGTGCAAATGTCATCAGTACAGAAGGAGAGTCTGACACTGAGCTGCTCATATGATACAAGCAGAAGCTATGTTACACTTTACTGGTACAGACAGTATATTAATAAAGAACCTCAGTATTTAATATGGAAATATGCTCGTTCGTGGAGTGAACTGGGAGCTGGGAGCCTAGCTGAACCTCGCTTTCAGTCGACTACATCAGAAACATCCACTGAACTCACTATTACTGGTGTAACACTGTCAGATTCAGCTCTCTATTATTGTGCTCTAAGAGTTGGAGCCCAGTGATACAAAGTCTTTGTGAAGCTGTACAAAAACTCACTTTTTCACTTTGAAACTGAACCACATCAAAACCACAGTCTGTTATACACAGAAATAAATTATGTGGAAACATTAGCATCTGCGTCTAGTTTCCAGACAAGTAAAAAATGTAGAAAAAAAACATTACATTTAAGCTATTTTATTTATTGCTATTAATTATTATGTATTTATTGTAGCTTTTATTATGTACAGTATACTGTCACAACCATTATGATACATCTCTTAAGATACCATAATGATACCAAAATACTGTAAATACTATAGGACATTACTATTATAAACTAATGAATAAATATTGTAATTTTTGGGTAAATGGTTTCTAGAATTAGAATGATCTTTCAAAGTACTCCAATTAATTAATTCATTTAAAGCACTGTTAACTTTTTTGGCCAACAGAAATCTGATGAAACAAATCAAAGTAGATGAAGATGCAAATACACAGAAGAATCTAATTATGTCCTGTGGTAAGCACATTCAAAACTCCTAATTTTGTGGTAAAATCACAGAACGGTACAACCTCTTACAGCAATTTTCACACTCAATGTAGTTGGAATGAACTACTTCTAAACTTGAATCAATCGCATGAACCTCAAAGCATCACAACAATCAAAAACACCTGAAGATCAGCTCTTCAGTGAACATTAAACTAACACATAAGCATATGCAGTGAGGACCTGATTATTGGATTCAAAATCTATTTTAAATCTGGAACAAGCTTACACTTTGAAATATTTAAAACAAGAACATTTATGACACTAAATAAATAAAACATTTAAGATTCAGAAATATTTTTCAGGTCACTAATCATATTTGTGACATTGACTGTGGTAACTATTATCATAATACAAAATGTATAATATCACTGTTAATATTATTGGTTCATTAATCGTTCATGTTTTGAATTTATCTTCAAAATCATCTGCTTAATAAATAATCGATACTTTTCTGCAGTTGCAAAGGCTTTAATCAATGGCGGGGCAAAAACATGAGAAGCAGTAGATGATATCGTCACACAGAAAGCAGGAAGTTCCAGTGTGTTTGAGTGTGAAACTGCAGAGACTCACAGTAACACAGATCTACAGCTCACAGCACAGACTACATTAATACACACCTGATCTGACCTAGTCAACATGGAAACACACCTGCTGATGATTTTAATTACGATTTCAGGTATAATTGACTCTTTTTATTTTTATTACAGTGGTATTAATTAGATAATTTGAGATTTTATTATTATTATTTATTTTTTGTTTGTTTGTTTATTTATTTTAGGTGTGATGACTGCAGACCAGATTTGGCCAAACAAAGATGCTGTTGTCATAAAGGAAGATGAGACTGTGGCCCTCAGCTGTTCATATACAAGTAGTGGTCATGTGTATTGGTACAGACAGTATCCTAATAAAGAGCTTCAATATTTAATATATTCTGCACAATCAAGTAGTGGAAGGTTTCGTATGACTAAATCACAAACATCCAGTGAACTCACTATTACTGGTGTAACTCTGTCAGATTCAGCTCTCTATTATTGTGCTCTAAGAGTAGCAGCCCAGTGATACAAAGTCTGTGTGAAGCCATACAAAAACTCACATTTATTTTTCACTTTGATGGCAAGTCACATCAAACCCACAATCTATAATTCACACAATATTATTAAACTTGTGGAAACACCTGTGTGTGGTTACTGAAACCCCGACTTCCTTACAGTACATCACACTTCTCTTAAAGAAAGTTTTCCAGTGATAAATCAAATTCTTCATACAGTGCAAACTAAATATGCCCAGTATGTCCTGATTCCCAATTTTAATTCTTATGTATTCTGACATTGATCTGACATTAGTTACAGTTTGTGAATTATGTCAGAATATGTTACAACTGAATTTAATTTAAATTATTACACGGCTGGGTTCTTGTTTGTCAAGCACAACATTCCAAGGTGTGTTATTCCCCAATAACAATTTTAGTCATTAGCAACAGCAAATAACACACCGCTCATCCAGGTACTTTCATGTCTTTCATATCAGAAAGCTGCACTTTTTTGTTTCCTTCAAACGCAACTCATCACCTTGTGCCTCAGTTATTGACTGTATTTACTGTAAAATGAAACCAGAGGACTTCAGTATTAATAGCAGCGGTAACATTGTTGAAAGGTTGCCAGCAGAGGCGGACAGTAACTAAGTACATTTACTTGAGTATTGTACTTAAGTACAGTTTTTGAATGTCTGTACTTTACTTGCGTATTATTTTTTCTGGAAACTTATGACTTTAACTTCACTACATTTGAAAGACAAATATTGTACTTTTCACTCCACTACATTTCTATCAAGATCCTCGAAGTAGAAAGTCGTTAGCAGCTTTGAAAGTCAGTGGGTGATTTATTTCTTCTCTAAAACGTGACTTTCTTTTTTCAGACAGTTTATCAGTAATCACTCTTGTAGGGCTACATGAAGAGATTTCCCAGCATTTTTTGAGCACTGACCAGTTCCAAATGTGATATTTATTTACAACAATTCAATAATAAGAAGTTAATATTGTGGTCTATATTAAACATATATTATATTAATTATATAACTACATTATATTAAAACACAAAATGTGTTTGACTGAAGCAGCACTGCATAGACCATTCTGTGTATGACATCAAAGTACAGCGATTAGACAGCATCTGGGTTTTAAAGCAGGTTTGATTTTTTATTTTCTTCCTTATCAGTCTGTATTCACAGCAATTTCACTGTCCACTCTGTTCAAATGTGGATGAATCACTCTGAATCCAGAGCTGTGTGAGATCACTACCATCCTGCTTTTGTGGGGGTGGGTAGGGGTGTTAAATAATTATAATTATTATTATTTATTTTCCCATAGGTTTTTAACTTTCTAAAAGCTCTTTATTCCAAAGATACTACAAGCTAGTCAGTCTATTCAGTAGGTGTAATGTATTGTAAGTTGCTTCAGAGGTATTGCAAGTATTACATACAACAATAATAAAACATAAATAAGGAAATTTACTTTTGCTACTTAAGTACTTTTAAAAGCAAGTACTTCTGTACTTTTACTTAAGTCAAAATCTATCTTTACAACTTTTACTTGTAATGGAGTAATATTTGACCAGCAGTATCTGTACTTTCACTTAAGTAATGGAGTTGTGTACTTTGTCTGCCTCTGGTTGCCAGAACAAATGTTGCACTGTGATGGATTTTTGTAATTATAACCAGGTAAGATTTTAAAATGCTTTCTTCTCATATAACATTTTATGTACTTGTCTTTATTTGTATGATTGAAAGCTGTGTAATTAGTATACCTGTACATAATGCCTTAAATGTCCGTCTTATCTGAATGTCGTCGCTCAAAGCTGTTTGTTAAAAACTGTTTTTCTTTTGCTTTTAAAGAACTAATTAAATATTTCAACTCTAATTAATATGTCATGTACTTATTTGGCAAGTAGCTGTGTAATAACCCCCACTTCGCACTAGGGTTCTGATCACCCTGTTGGGGTTTATTCAGTGAAAACAACCATCTGGATGTACATTATCACTTATTTGTTCAGCTCAGCAAAATATTCCAACTCACCACAAGGAGGCATAATTCATCAAATCATATATAAGGCTGAACCTTATGAAGAATATGAAACTACAAAGAGAAACACAGACTATACAGTAAGAAGAAAACACTTCTGGAACTTTTTTAACTTAGAGCAACAATGGCAAAGTGGGTGATTATAACTTTTTTCTTCACTGCTCATGAGTTTGGTAAGAACATTTCATTATTTACACTTCATCTTTTTGTGAGATACTCAGTGTAAGCACATGAATAATGGGTAAATCTATTTTCCAGTGTGCTGGGGACAAGACAAAGTTGAACAAGCTTCAAGACAAATGACTGCAAATGAAGCAGCTCATGTTACTCTGCTGTGCAATTACTCTACCAGTTTTCTTAATGCTTATCTCTTCTGGTACAAACAACTACCAAACACATCACCAACATTCATTCTGAGTGAATTTACAGTTGGTAAAGGAACTACTGAGAATGCATTTAAAGAGAGATTTTCTGCAACACTGGACTCCACATCAAGATCAGTTCCACTGACAATCCAGGATGTGTGTGTTTCTGACTCTGCTGTGTATTACTGTGCTCTGAGGCCCACAGTGACTGAAGCACACTCAACACTCATACAAAAGCTCAGGGAGACACATTACAGAGGATAAAATAACCAAACACACTTCTGTGCACAGATCTGCACAAAGCTCCCGTGTTTCCACCGAATTGGAATGACCAGAATTCACATCCCCCCCCCAAACTCAGTAAAGAAAATATGAAATAATCTGCATATTTTTTTTTTATTACAATAAATTCTATTTATATTTCCCACTGATACATTACTGATAGTAATTACATAATTCCTTTCAAAAGCATTAATCAATTTGGATTACCCTAAAATTATTCTATAACTGACCACCTGACTCGACAGTATGTTACATTATGTTAATCCTGATACACACAATTATAAAGGATGTTTTAACCATATTCATGTCACTTTTGCTGCTGTGAATAACTGTTTTAGTACCACCAAAAATCAATTGTATACCTAAATTCATTATGTGTTTATAATATGCACATCTAAACAGAGTTTAGAGAATATAAACAGAGAACAAGTATGAGGAATTATTCCAGATCATATTCTGTACATTGAGATCTGAGGATTTCTATCACACGACAGAGTTAGTAAGGAACCACAAGAGGGTACAATAGGACATGAATAGTAATCGAATGACACAGTGGTGTATGAAACAGATCTGATGTGATCTCTCTCAAAGAGCTCTCTGGAAGAGGTGGGGTTTAAAGCACTGATACCTGATGCAATCTTGTTAAACTTCTGTTAGAGAGAGCATAAGAAACACACACAATGAATCTCCATTCTGTCATTCTGCTTTCTGTCTTTGCATGTAAGTATTGAAGTGTTTAGTGATTTGCATCTAAATTATGTATAAAGTGTATTCCTTTATATTGTATATTGCAATACACAGTTCATAAAAGATTTGATCTACATTTGCAGATGCAACATATGGAAATGAAATTAAACCTACCAAAACAGAGGAGTTTGCTGACGAGGGTTCAAGTGTTAAATTATCCTGCAGTTATACATCTGCATACTATCTTCACTGGTACCGTCAGTATCCCGGATCAGCTCCTGAGTTCATTGTGCTCATCTCAGACAGTGCAAAAGAAGATCAGAAGTCTAATGTAGATTCCAGATTCACGGCTAAAGTCACTAAAGACAATAATGAATACCTTGTGGATCTGGAGATCTCCTCTGCATCTATATCAGACTCTGCTCTGTACTACTGCGCTCTGACGCCCACAGTGACAGGAAACACAAGAACACTGTACAAAAACCTGACATAACTATAACTCTACCTTCTACAAATTAGACTGGAGCACGTCACAATCAAGAGAATCACATTCCCAAAATATCAACTCAGACACTGAGAACAAAATCTGATAAAATGCATTAAAATACCCGTTTAAAAAGGGTACATTTAGAAAGAAAAGAAAAGAAAAAAAGAAAAGAAACCACATGAAGGCAATATGTACCATATATTCATATTATCTCATTTCAGGATCACTAGCTCCTCCTTGCTTCAAATAACAGTTCTCTCATTCACATATGTGTTTCTCTACCTCTTTCATTAATCTACTGTCTGTACAACAGAAAATAAACTAAATGTATATTTATGTCTGGGTGAGGGTTCAACAGAATCATATCAACAGAGAGCAGTAAGGCCCTGAGTGACTGTATGACTCAGATCCTGAGTAACTGCAGAAACTCAGAGCATCAGAATCATCACAACCTACAACACAGAACACAGCATCAACAGAACTGATCTGACTTAGTAAACATGGACAGACACTAGGTACTAATTGTAATCATGACTTCAGGTAAAATACTCTTTGATGTGCTAATGAAAATAGTGTAATGTGAATGAATGTAACCCACATGTTTTAAAATGTACACAAATTGTATGCTTTTATAGTAGGTATGATGGCTGCAGACCAGATTGGGCGATTAAAGAGTGTCAGTGTCATCAGTACAGAAAGAGAGTCTGTAACACTGAGCTGCTCATATGATACAAGCAATAAAGTTGAACTTTCTTGGTACAGATAATATCCTAATAGAGAACCCCAGCATTTAATGTGGAAAAATGCTTGGTCATGGACTGGTACTGGGAGCCCAGCTGAACCTCACTTTCATTCGACTACATCAGAAGCATCCACTGAACTCACTATTACTGGTGTAACTCTGTCAGATTCAACTCTCTATTATTGTGCTCTAAGAGTAGCAGCCCAGTGATACAAAGTCTATGTGAAGCCATACAAAATCTCAAATTCATTCTTTGCTTTGAAACTGAACCTCATCAAAACAACAATCTATTATACACAGAAACTAATAAATTATGCAGAAACATGTGCGTGCGAGTAAGATTGTAAGCATTTTTGACTCTTACAGACAATATCATAAATTCAGGACATTTCAGCTAATAGCATCATAATGGTATTTATAATATTTATTTTAAGATTATGTATTTATTATTGTTTTGTGTGTGTGTGTGTGTGTGTGTGTGTGTGTGTGTGTGTGTGTGTGTGTGTGTATATCTCTTATATTTGTGACTCTG